TCGATTAGCCGGCGCCTCTTAATTCACGATTATCGCTCGCCGCGGTATTCACTTCCGGAATGTAAAATGGCGACGTCGGCTGGCATTTACGTTCCTTTTTATTAGTTCTTTAATCGTTTTAAGCCCTTCTCGCGTATTTTGAGCGCCCGCAATTACGCGGATTACATTTCTATTTCATTTATTCTTAAAAATTTCTGTCGTTTGAAAATTATATTATTTGTAATTGAAATCTATTATTTTCTATATCCCGAATGCTCTACAATTTTTTCCTTTTATGCCTCATTCTTTTTTACGCAAAATTATTTGACAATAAGCTATTTGGCTCTGGCGATAATCTTTAATAAATAGATGATTCAACTTGCCGCCAACTTGGGCGTTATTGCACACGATATATACGTGTATAATTTATATTCAAACGTTCTCATTCGAATGTACCGAAGGGATGGGTCGGAATTTGGATGTTGCCGCGGACCGGACCTTTTCCCCTCTCTCATCATGCCGCGTTGCATTTTCCAAAGTGGCCGGATCTCATGCGAGAACAATATTAAAACTACCCCTCGAAATAGCGCCCCGAGGGTGAAAGCGCATTAACGTGACTCGCTAAGAATGCTCGTTATTCTTAAGGGAGGGTGCGAATTTGGAAATGACGAGAAAGCGTATTTATATTGTTATAATTTTTTTATTTATGAATAAGTTCTTTGCCAGAAATTATGTTTTTGCTGTAAAATAACTTTGCGCACTTGTATCTTGCCTCTTGTTATTGTTAGACACAGAAATGTGTTCAACTTTTGCATAAAATAAATGAAAAAATAAGAATCAACATCTCTCTTCCCAAGTCTGTAGTAAGGAGTTGCGTGGATTGAGGTGGATGGGGATCTTGGTGAAAAAGAAAGGAGGGAAATGCTAAAGTCAGGGCGGTGGATTCATTTATAATCGTTGATAGCTCGTCGTGAAAACTGTCGGCGAAGTAATAGGAAAAGTTGCAGCCAAAATGGCTAGCAAAGTTTTCCATTAATCTACATTAATGTTGCACGAAATCTTGAAATCTTGATACAGACGCTTATTCGCGCCTGTTGCGTTTTAGCGAAAGCAGCCTAAGGGCCCTGGTAAACACCCTCATAAGCAATTAAGCCGCTTAGAGAAACCCCGCCGTTAATTTATTATCTCTGTCCCTTCTAAGCAAGCTCACGGGCACGCTGATAAACGACGCGCTGAGCTAAGAAGTCCTCTTTCAAAGCAGCTCCTTAATTACGCTTTAAGCAGTTTGGAGTTTCTCTCACTCCGAATATCGTTTGAACAACGGAAGCTTCGGGAAAATTTAAAATAATTTGCGATTGATCCTTTTTTGCATTTCTAATCCGCTTTTTTAGTAATTTCACATTTAAAATATCATATTTCTCAAAATTTTATCGATAATTTTCAGATAACTGAGTTTCCAAATGTTATATTAAGTTTTTAAGTTTAAAACTTTCTAGTAAATGCTATTGTGCACCTTTCTAAATATTATGGATTGGAATATTTTAAATTTCACTCAATCTCTCGAAACGGCAAACAAATGTCTAAAGTCTCGAATATTCAATACTGTTTGTATCCTCAGATATGGAAACGTCTTGAATTCTCGTCTCGCGGAAGCAGCAGGTAGAGAGATCGCCCTTCGAACTCGATATACTCGACATACGTGTATATCGATATCGAGATGTCTCCCGGAGTCGAGCTTGGGGAGGGCGAGGAAGGATTGCGGTGAAGGGTTGATACAGGACAGTCCAAAGTTTGCCGACAGTTGGGGAAAGACGAGGAATGACCAGCGGACAATGGGGCGCGTCGCCGATGACGAACTCTCGGCCTGCTTCCCCGGAGTCGCTCTCGGGGATTGCTGGAACAGCCGCAAACAAGGGGGATGGGCGAGTCAGCGTTTCTACCATCGACCCCGCTACCCCTCGCCACCCCACACCATCCCTCACCACCCCTCACCACCCCTCGCCACTCCCTTTCTCTCTCACCTCGCTTCCCCGGGTTATGTCCCAAACGGTTTACGCATTCCCGAGCGACGAGGGGGCGCGAAGCGCTGAATATTTCTGCTTACAATTATACCGCGTTGTTTCGCGACGTTCGATACTCGGTGTTTTAATAATGTGCCACTACTATTGTACTTGGACTGCTTAAAGCTCGGATTATTCACGCCGAGAATTCAAATAAAAAAATCTTTCGCGAAATGAAAATAATTGTACAGATTATTTGTAGAAATGTTAAATATATAATTATATAAATTATATATAAGATGAAAATAAGTATGAGAAAACCAATTAAAAACAACTACAAACATAAGATATCGAAAAAATGTAAAAATTTGCAAATTGCTTTGAATTTGCATATTTTTTGCTTATCTTTCTTCTCAAACCAAAAGAAAATGTATGGAATTTAAAAAATATATGGAATTGATGAAAAAGTTCTCTTATTAAATAAAAATTTTAATAATAAAAATAAAATAATAAATGAAATAAGAAATGTGTGAAATAACGAATAAATAACAATTTTTGTGAATTCTTTTTTTGCAGAAACAAAGCTTCGTTTTTTCCGATCTATATAAGAGTTTATTTACACAAAACATTGAAAAGAAAAAAAAGAAAATGGAAATAATTGATAATAATTGAAATTGACAATGTGCAAAATTACGGTCAAATTTACCGCGCAGTTGAATTTTTTCACAGGCTTTGTTCTATAATAAAAAGTAAAAAAAAAGAGACACGGTTATACAAGAAAAATCGTATTTTTCTGGGTTTTTTCTTTTTTTTTCTCTCTTTTTAGTTTACGTGTATCTCGCTGCAGGCTGCAACGAAACATACGCGAAAAATGGCGGCAACAGCTGTCGACGTGCGAGTTTCGATGCCGTTGCAAAATTCTGTATTATACAACTCGAATATACATATATGAAGCACGGTGTCCTCACGGAGAAATTATTGCTACGTGAAACAGCGAAGCAGACAAATCTCGTTATTATCATTTTTACAGCGATAATGATAATGGATACAGCAATGCTAATGTACATGTAAATAATAAATGCAACGTATAATGGTGAATAATAAATGCAATGTACACAACAGAGAAAATATAATAAATAAGAGAATGATATGGTGTTGTTTTTATGTTTATCTTTGAAATTTAAATTGCAAGGATTTATTTCTTTTCTGCTTTGTTTATAATTTGAAAACTATATTAAAATGATATTAGGAATTTTAGAAATATCTCGAGGGAATATCGATTTTGATTTGATAAAATAGTGTGTGTGTGTGTGTGTGTGTGTGTGCGCGCGTGTGTGTGTGTGTAAAATTTTATGAAAAAACTTCATTTTTATCATCAATGAAGATATGCCGAATAGGAGTCGACGTCAACTGATAGGATAGGCCACTAGTAGAACACGGTGTACCTTGTGTATGATAATATTTTTTTAAGCAAAATTTGTCTCGCCGCACAAAAAGAATGGCGTGTTCAGTAGCATGAAATAATAAATAAAAACCTCTCTCTGGAAACGTGCGAGCGCTGTGTCTGAGGTCGAAGGACGATGGAGGGAGGAGGGGAAAAGGAAAGAAGGAGGAGAAAGTGGAACGAGTTTCAAGAGTGCCATAATTTACGCTCCACTCGTTTCTTCCTCGTGTATACCTAACATGTACGAATGAAGCATAAATTCATTCTGTACTCTCATCCCTTATATTTGCGATCCATCGCCAAGAGGGAATTTAACGTTTAGCCGCGCGAGAGGCATCTTGGCGAATTTTCCGTTTCAGGAACTTCAATTGAAGACAACAAACGTCTTTTCTCAAAACGAAAATTAAATTACGGTATTATTAACGCTTTTATTAATTAATTAAAAACTCTGAGCTTTTGAATTTTTCAAAAGAATATTATAAAAGCAAAGTGTACCGAAAAATATGTGTGTATAAGTGAGATATTGGAAGAAAACTTTTGAATCTATGAGACACATTGCAATCTAGAGCTTTGAGAATAAATAAAATTCTCATCCGATTCTAAAAAGACACCCGACAAACGCGAACACGGCTCGACTTTGCGAGGGCGAGACAAAGTGGAAAGGGAATGAGAAGAAGAGACATGGAGAAAAAATCTTCAACCCTCCCCTGCGAGCTCTTTTCTCCCGAGATATAGTACGTACGGCACCTTGTCCGACCAGCTCCACCCTTGTCCATCTTTTCTCTCTCTCCCTCTCCCTCCCTCCCTCCCTCCCTCCCTCCCTCCCTCTCTCTATTTTTTCTTTCCTTTTTCTCCTTTTCTCTTTTTCTCCTTTGAGTCTGTTGCGCACGAGCCTGCTATTTATGAGGGATTTGCCCGCGGGAGTGGAACACACAATTTCCACCGATATACCGCCATCTCTCCCTCTGCTCCTCCACCACCCTTCTTTCCCGGATCGTCCCAATTTTTCTGCTCCATAACGCCTAACGAGAGTCGGTCTGAGGAGAGATCGTTTTTCACTGATAACCGCGAGTGGCTTGTTCAGCTTTTTTATTTTATCGGCATGATAGTTTGATCGGAAGTGAATCTCGCCCATGTCGAACACATCGGGGGAGAGAAACGCGTATATAAACCAACATTTTTTAATCCTTCAATATTCGTGTCTCCTACAAACATTATTTTGCTCGCGTTGTGTCCCCATTTCGCTGATGCAAAATACTTGAAACAAATATTTAAATGTATATGTGTGTGTAGAAATGTTGAAACAATTTTTCAAAAAAAGGATCAAATTTTAAAAAAGATAACTAGTTTTTCTTGCAAAAAGTTATTATTGATATTAATAATCCTAATAAAGAATTATTAATATTTCTATGATTTTTCTGTCATTTTCTTACTTTAATATATTTATATACATATACTTATCTATAATTATGTGTGTGATATATTTACATAAATAGAGATATTAATAACGATAAATTAATCTATAATAAAAATAGCACTATAATTAACGAGTTTTTTGGGTTTTTTTTCTTTTTTAGGAGCTGCGGCGGCGTCGCGAGTTTACGTTGACGCTTTGTCCCGATTAGCTCGTCAAGCTCAACTGGGCACATGGGGCGGTTCGAAGGATGTAGGTAAGTGAAGAGAAACTTCAAATTGATTATTTTGAATCGAAGACCATGAAATGAAACTCGCTTCACAGTTTATTCGAATGATATAAGTTGAGAAAGAATAGATAGAAAAGCATTGATGGATAGAAAGTCATAAATGAAGAAATTAGCACTTATCTAGTTTCTACCAAGTTGAACAAGAAGACTTTCCGCAATGTTTAGTAATCGCGAATAAAAGTTGAATTTGAAAAACAGTATATTTTTAAAATCACTTAAAAAAAATAAACAGTAGACTCCCCGCATTAAAATCCACATTAGAAAATAATGCTTTATATTGTTCATCAATATAACTAACATACAATTATTATATAAAAGACTAATTGAGATTATAACAAATGTTTCACTTACTTTTCTCCTAGATTTTATTTTTTACGTCATATTTTGATTTCTTCGCGATCGAATCTTAGTATCGTGTATTCTTTTGGATTTATTTCGTCGAAATAAAGCGTAAATAAAGCAGTTTCCATTCCTCGAGAGTCCAAGTTTGCATCGCTCCGGAACGGGATGAGCTTTTCCGAGGCTTCCAAAGCCAATAAAGCGCGTTTAACCGTCGCTAAGCTCCGAAAGATCCTGTTCCCTCTCTTTCTTTCTTCTTTCTCTTCCTCTCTCTCTCTCGTTCGTCCCGGCTCTAGATGCCGACGAACGAAAGTTACTAACGAGATCATTGCAGCGTGATAAGTATACGTATTAAGCCCGGGTCGGTGACCCGTGAGCGAAGCTTGCGAGTTTGCGAACTTTTTAAAGCAGGCTAAGACACAGTCTTAGGAAGTCTTCCAAGTGCCAACGACCGAGCGAACCTTTTATTCGTTCTCAACAGTGGGTGAGGGTGGATGGAGTGGTAGTGGTGGTGGTGGTGGGGAGGGACACCCTGACTGCT